GTAAGAAGGGTCCGGTGTGACGCAAGAGTTGGTAGTTAGCAAAAACGAGCGCATGCATAAACGTATACGCATCGCGATGCCGGGCCTTCCTGGAAGGGAAACGGGACCCGAGAGAGCTGCACCTTCCCTTCCACCTTTCCTTCCTCTCACCCTCCTGTCCATGATGTTCGTCCACTCTGCGATCGCGCCGGCTCCGTCACGCCCAACAAACTTCTCCTACGACTCGTAACAGGCGTCACGCCGCATTTATAATGTTTCCACGTTTGAGTTTCGATGGGTCCACTCCTGCGGGGCTGAGAATCGAGCGGCAGGACAATGGGTTTGCCACGTCGGCGCCCTTTGCCCCGAAAAATCTCGCTCGATTATATGATCCTTCAATTATCCGAGAAAATATCGATATGGACAACGACATTTAATACTGACAAAAGATGTATTAAAAATTTATTTGGTAATACTTAATCTTTACAAATAAAAAAAAATAAATAAAAAAACCGATTCTTTTATTTTTAGAATAATGTTTTTGGCAATTTTTATAAAAAATAATAAATATCGATATATAAATTTTTAGAAATAAAAAGTTCCGTACAAAGTAATTTTTTATAAAAGATCGAGGCTACCAACTAGTTTCTAACCGGGTTTTTAATAAATGAAATATGGACAATTAAAAATTGAGGAGTAATTGATGAAATTTTTTTAACCAATTTTTTCATCAAGGGTTGAAAAGAATCTCGTTACTCGTTGCATTCATTGCACTCTACTAGACAGCACTGCGAAATCGCGACAATTTGTACCACGGCCAGCGAGAAGAAAAAAGATTCGCAAGTGCTGTAAGTTGCATCCTACTGCGCGTTATTTAGCACTCTCGTAAAACACTAATCCCGCCTGCGCAATATTTCCATCGGTTACCAACGCCGTTACGTAAAGTAACATCGCGTCCCCGAGGCAAACTGGACCCACGAGTCAACTTTTCATTCAATCGACACGCACGCATTGCTTCGTTAAGGAGAAAAAAAAAATAAATTAACTACATTGCGCATTACGTTAACATTGTAACGCATGTACCGATCCATGTAACGATCAAGACAATCATTGACATATGCTGGAATGGCATCGTAGATCGTTGGCTTATCGCGATTCTCTATTTATTTTTGTTGTAAAAGCTTCAACTCCACTATCTGTACGATATTATCTAAATCGGATCAACAATCTTTACGTTAAAAAGGCTCGCTAGTAAAGTGAATTTATTTGAACGCAGCATTCGAAAAACAAGTAATAAAAAAATGAAAAAAGGAATTATAATAGTATTATTTATATTTTAATTCTCAATGTTAACAAAAATTAATTTATATAATTAACTCTAAAAATGCTAGAGGATTTAAAAATTAAAAAACTAATTAAAAACCTACTCAGAAAAGTAATAAAAAAGTCATTAGAAAAATAAAATCTCACCGATATGTTTTAAATTTAAATATAATACTGATTTAAATAATTATAATATAAATTAATATAAGAGAATTTAAATAATATACTGATAATACCAATCATCTCGTTTTACTTAAAGAATTAAAGAAAGAATCAAGCGTAAGATTACATAACAAGATATAGTGGTAATCTGAAAGGGGGATGTATACTATATTACCTTCTCAAGTACATTATATAATAATTCACATCAGACTCCGCGACTTTGTAACTTTGCACTAATAAACGATCCAACGATTATACAACTGAAAAGGACACCGTTAACGAAGTACGGCGATAAATCTGTTATCGAAAGACAGAAAAAGCACGACCAACGTAATTTCGCGCTTTCATAAACAGCCGGCCGGAGACTTTCCGCGAGTATCGCCAATTACGAATCGATAGCGGCGTGGAATCGCCGGCGGCTTGCGCAACCTTGTCGTCGACCATGAATTATTCATTCATTAATTTTCGGGAGCTGTCCGCGCCAAGAAATCGGTGAACCACCGAGCAGCGACACTATCGCGTCGTCCCTGTCCTCGGATTATTGCGACCGCACGGGTGACACAGCGCGGGCTCGCCGTTAATGTTTTCATCATCATTTCGGCTGTACGGGATGGCGAACCGTATTTTAAGGCAATAATTTTCGCCGCGGTCGATGGCCTGGCGCGCGGCGTCGAAACGGGGACATCGGTCCTTTTGATCGGCCCCGAAGGGCCCCGTCGACGGTCGCGCCACGGGCCATTATCGACCTTTAAGGACCTTGCTGCGACTCGTAGAGACCGGTTACCATAACCGCACATATAACCGACGAAGAGACCTCCCGGAGGTGTTATAGGATTCGAGCGCACTTTCGCCCAGGACAGCCGAATATATATTTTTCCGTGCTTCGTCAACGTTACCGTCCTTCGGCGTCCCCCCTTTTACCTGGCAGTCTTCATTAAATAAATCAGATTCAATGGTTCGCCTGAATCAGAAACTTGTGTGTGGCAGAAACAGAGAGGAGGGAAATTTAGTCAAGATCTCAATTAAATGACATTTCGCATGTTACAAATTCGTGAAACGAATCTCTCTGCTCTTATTTTAATTAAACATCGCGCTTGTCGATTCAATAACGTCCTAAATCCTTATTACATCATATAATTTAATTCTAAATACACGATTGTGTATATTCATACGCCACGATTATCCAATTCTAATTTGTATATTGAATTTCGTATAATGGTGGATAATCGTACCAATGAATGATTAACGAATTAGCGAATAGATGCGAATCGTGTATATTATATCGCGACATTTTTTTTCACTGCAACCGGCATCGACAGCTAATGAATTTTTCATCGCGTCGAGATGCAAAGTAGTTGCCTCGTAAAATATACAACACGTTCGTTATACATTCGTACGTTCGTCCATTCCTATCAAAGGCGTTTCCCCTCTCCCTTGTCCCTGCGCCATTCCGCTCCGGCACGGTTCCTCCGGTTACAAAGGCGATCGTTCATCACTTCCAGAAGTAACGAAAGAAGCAAGTAACCTCTCCTCGAAGCCGCCCAAGAACACGGCGATTTTGTTTGCAAACGATCTACGCGCCCGGCTTCCGCAGAAAAATGCCGCCGCGAAATTGAATTCGCCACAGTGTTGTGGCGAACTCGCCATTTTTCGTCTTGACTGATCGATATGCTGATATTGTATAGTTTGCCATCTACGTGGGACGACAAGGACCGTAGAATGCGAAGTCAATGGAGATATTACATCACGAATAATAGACATATCAATTTTTTCGATTTTAAGCTGGCTAAGAAAAGTATTATATTTTATTGCGATTTTTAGTACGTTATTGATTTATGGATTACTACGTATTTTAATTAATTTGACAAAATTATGCTATTCGTAATAATAGCAATAGTAAAATATTAATAATAATGAGACTGATAATTATTAATAATTGAAAATGGGAAGTATAATATTAATAATAAATAATAATAATTATATTAATAATAGATAATAATTCATGATAATGTTTGTTTAGCAAATGTTACATTCCTATTACGGATATTTGAAAATTATAAATTATAAATTTATATTGTAAGAATATATTTGTCAATAGTAACGGTTTGATATGAATTATGGTGTATCGACTTATTGTTTCTTCGCGCTAATTTTAAACGTAAGATTAAATAGTGCATAAGAATAAAATAACTGCCAAAAATTCCATCAAACGCAAATTATTTTACAAATAAACTTAATTAATCATCATTCATATAGCGAATTGTTTAAATCGTTTCTATACGCAACGGTGATTAATTAAAAACACTAAGATGAAGTACTTTTCTTCTTTTCCAACAACACAAAAAAGCTCAAGAATCTCCGAAGTTTAATTTGATTTCTGAATTAGGATAAGAGAATGCAGTAACCAACGCGTTTTGAATAGTTATTCGGTCTCATGTCTCAATAAAGCACGCTTAAAATTTATCAGTGTCCTCGTGTCTTATTAAAATACATGAATATGCGCGTTGCTTTGCAAGTTTACAAGTTTTAGACGCTCCCTTGTTTACAATCGCACGTGACATGCATTATTTTCAAGCCTACGGGTGACTGATTTTTAAAATCAAATCGAATTAAACAACGTCTATTTCGTTCAACGAGAAAATGTCAAGGCATATATTCCATCAATCGTGAGATTTGATCTTTTTTCAAATTGCGCCAATCATGTAAAAATACCGATCGATTCTGCATAATTCATCGCCGATAAACGGGATGACGGTTAAATTCGGAAAGGTACTTCGCGAAGAGATGAGGAAGTTGCAACATCAACCGGTCGATCAAGCAAACTTTCGTGAAAGTTTGAAACGGAAAAAACACATTTTCTGAGAGTTTCTTAGAATATTTTTCACGTGCGAGTGTAATTACACGATATATATAAATATATATAATATTATGTAAATATGTCATATAATACAAGCAGTGTACAAATCGATTTTTTAAGATATATTCCTGGTCATAACACAGTGAGAGATACGAGTTACACAGTTGGCACATCCATATTCATTCATATACATATGCATGCAGATTATGAGAGATATTAGAATAGGAACTCCAATTACACGTGCGGTATATAGTAATGTCGCTCAATGATAATAATTTGTACTATTTTCAATAATAATTAATCAAGACAATCTCATATAACTATCGTAAACAATTTATGAGATTTTTAGGAAGAGTACCAAGTTTTATATATATACAAAATAATATAACAAAAAATTCTTTTGAGCATCAATCAATCTTTACTTGTTAATTCTCATTCATCTGTATCAGAAAATACACAAGTATTTATTATATGTCAAGTATTTATTATATATCAATAAATAATTTTATTAAAAGATTTAATAATATACCATTTATTTTTTTGTTTCTATTAATTTTTTTACGATATTAATTACTACAAAGTTTTACTTTACTAAACTAATAATATTTTATTAAAAGAAATTAGAGAAAAATATCTTTTCATGTAAAGATTGAAAGCGCACATATACATGGACACGTACCTGAAGAAGTCGTTCCTGCAGAAGAGCTTCGCCTCCCTGGAGAAGCACTTGTCCTGTAGCGCGGCTCTGCAGTCGAAACAGCGCACGCACTCGACGTGCCATGCACGATCCAAAACGTTCAGCAGGTACTGATCCATTATCGGTTTCTCGCATCCTGCACATGACAGGAGCATCGCCAGACCGCGTCTCCCTGTTGAAATTAAAAGAGAACACATTACATATCTCCGTCATTTTAGTTTCGATTTTATAACATGACGTTCAGTTCTGACAATATTTTTTTTTATTTTATTTCTTTTTTTGAAAGATGAGAAACATAAGTCTTTTTGCATCGTTAAACGATTCGATCTGATTCAATTCGAAAATTTCAATCGAAATTTAATGAAATATTAATGCATGGTTATTAATGTGGACAGCGGATATAAACGTTACATCATTAGTTCCGGGCAAAGCTTGAATTAATATTAGTTCTACATGCAATGTTCGATATTTTGTTGTGAATGTGCGTATCGCCACAACATAACATCGGTTTTACACAATTTAAATATAATCGCAAATGTGCGATTCAAAGCGATGAATATTTCAATTTATATATATTCATCAATATATATATATATATATATATATATATATATATATATATGTATATATATGTATATATATGTTCTTTTTTTTGGATAATTTAATTCTATTGTTTCCTAAAACTGAAAAATAATGTTAAAAAATGTTAAAAGATAAATATATATCGTGGTGCTCACATTAAATCCTTTTTCACCGCGACATATTTATTTGTAAATATTAATTCTGCGAATCATTCGAAACATGCGTCGAATAATTGTAACGGTGGAAACTCAATTGGAATTACATATGAAATTATCTGCAATAAATTGAATTAAACTCATATGCAGCCACAAAATAAGCCTGGCAATGATTTGTTAAAAAAAAAAATAAAATGGCTTATTAACCATATTGCGAACAGATCGAAATATTCAGAAGTCTTTCGTGCGTATCGCGCATGATTTATTTAAAAAAAAAGTTTAAACGTTTTCGTTATAAGAGCACGCGTGCATAAGGAGGCGTACATCGTGTTCGACTTTTTTTATCTCAACAGTTAAATCACCACACGATCTAGTTGACACAATCAAATGTATAAAAAAAATGATGCAACATAATCGCTGTGTTGATTACATAAAGTAAGCAATTAATTCGATTCATTAAAAAATTTGTGTTTTTAATAATAAGATAAAAAGATTAATATGAAAAGATTAATATGAAAAAAGTCGCGTGTTTCATTGTCTTGTATATATCTGAAAAAGACGATATATCTTTTAAAAAAATTTAATAATATATATTATGCATTCCACAAATTATATTAGTTCTATATAATTATATTTGTTAGGTATTATCAAAAATTAATTAAAATTTTACTCAAAATCTAAATTGAAGCTTGTAATTTTTAATCAAGATATATATTAAATCAAATCGGCTAGCAAAGATGTTCGTACAATAGCAAGTTGATATCATACTTCAATTCTTATCACTCTTCGTATCTTTTTTAAGCAAAATTGTATAAATATCGACTAAACATAAACTGCGAAATCATAAACTTTCGAATCTAGGAAATTAGAAATACAATTTTTGTATTGGTACAAAATAATTTTTAGTATTCGACTTCGTAGACATTTACTAAGCATGTTTGTGTTTCTACCAAATTTTGTAATATTAATTATTTATATATATATATATATATATATATATATATATAATTACAGATATTATTATATATTAACAAAATGATATTGATCAAATATTGATTCTTGATTTTTCTGTCAATACATTATATAATTTTATATATTTAAAGATTAGTTCCATAAATAATTACTCCATAAATATATAGTCTCAGTTTTAAATTATCATTAAATCAATATTTATTGAAATTTGACATTTCCAATGACAGCTATCAATAAACATTTCGTTAAACGAATCTTTAAATCCATCAAAATTATAGCAAAACGCATGTTTTCTCTTTGTATGTTTATACACCTTTAAATATACCATTCATTATATCGCTAATATAATGGTAACGATTAAACACATAAAAAATTATGCGCTAATTAGAGTTTCAATTACTACCTGCGATCGTTAAATAATTTAAACACGATAATTTAAACGATGTAAAATATTGTAATTAAAATGTTTGCGTTACAATCGTCGAATAGTTAGTCAAAAATTTATCGTCTGTACAATGTCGCGATCACTTAACGAACGACATTCCCTCTAATTCGAAACAAAGGAAAGAATTTCAAACGTTGCAATAGTGTATCGCGGTTATAAATCCTGCGGCTTGAACAAAAAATCGTATATCGCATCGACGAATTTAACGATCGTGTTTCGGCGTTAATCTTTTACCTGACTAATTTCACGGCCGCTTTTTTGCCTGTCTTTCGCGACTGAATCTACGGTGAATAATTATAATTCGTTATTAATTAACATTTGCGAGCGAGATCGTCCCTTCGCGGTTTGTTTCCTCTATCGCTTTCTACATTTTCCTCTTTTTCCCTCTCACTCTTCCCTTATCCCTTTTCCTTTTCTTGCTTCCGTTCGCCCTCTTGCCGTTTTTATCGCCATCATTGAGATCCACAGACTTCACCCTCCTCTACATTTTTTTTTCTTCCGCGGTTTCCGCCAATGGGCGGAGTCCCTCTGCCTAGCTGGCAGGGTTGTCAACCTAGCAACCCTCCTCCCACCCTTAAGATCTGACCTTGCGCATCTCATCCCTCTCGCGGAAGGGCGAGAAAGGCGAGGGTAGCACGGCATCGACGTAACCCGCGATCGTTTGCAAGTTAACTTTGAAGTTCTAAACTATTCCGTGTATCGATTAGTATGGTCTATCTCTCTCTTTCTCTCTTTCCAGTTAAAGTACTGAGGTTAACCTTTAACTGATATAACAAGTTGATATGATATAAATCTTGATATCCACATAAAGAAATTATATTCATTTAGATTTTAATAATAGAGTATTCTTACAATCATCACTTTCTTGAAATTTATTATTTTCAAATTATTCTATATCGTCCAGAAAATAGTAATTATTAATTCTAACATAAAGACAAAGCTATGAAACGAAACTATTGATAATCTATATGTACGTCCAATTAAAATATTTGCAATAATATTTTTTGCAAATTTATAACATACTTGATATTAAAAATTAATTTCATATGATTATAAATTTGTTTTCTAAATAATATTTGAATTACATTTTTTAGCTGCTTGTATTAAAAATTATATTATTATACGCATCATACACACACACATACACACACACACACATACATAGATGCTATATAAAGAAAATTAAACAATAGCGAATTCGATTAAAAATCACGCGATTACATAAAAAAGTCTTAGTACTACAATTAAATACGTTTTCAAGTTAATGACATACATTTTTTTAGTAGAAAACTAAAATTGATTTTATAAATCATAATAACAATTATAGACATTCGAGAACTATTTTTTCACAAAAAAGATATTAATGTTCTAGCAGCAAATTGTTAATTAATTTCGCGTATAAGTGTTACTATATGAAATTCCAACGATACTATCATGCATTGACTTAAATGCTCGAATAGCTGTCTTAACGAATGTAAAGCATATACATAGAATCTTCGTATATGTATATTGATTAATGTCGATTAAAATAAATTGCTTAAGCAACTATCTTCTCTCAGCAGAAATATTATTAAAAAATATTTAACTACATCATTGATAATTTCTTCTTGTGATATATAATACTAAAAATTGGTATTAATTTCATATATATATATCATCTTAAAACCAGAAAAAAATCTTTACTAACAATCATGATATTTTATCGCTCATTTTTATTTCACATGATCACATGATCAAGTAATGAAAAATAGAATTGATTAAATTGAAAGATTATTTACAGCTCTATGAAAATATTTTTTCATTCACTATATAAATATCAAAATATTCATATATGCAATCTGTTATTTCAACCAGAAAATTGTTTCTATCTTATTATTCTTTTATTCTGGTAAAAGCGAGACAAGAAAGACCTAGTTAACTAAATCGCATAAACGAGATTAGGATTAGCTAGACGTGAGACGAAAACCCTGTTGATCCAGTAACATCGGGTGCTTAATCCGATTTTTTTCCGGTTAAACGTCATTGCTCGCGTCATGCCGGATCTGTTTTGTTCCGTCGGACGAAACATTATCGAGATGTTTCTATTATACGTGCCAAAGTAATGACGGCAGGATAATGTATTCTCAATAAATAATAATTATTTATTAGAAGATTTATCAATATAATATCAAAGAACATTATAAGAATATTTCTATTCAAATAAAAAAAAAAATATATAAAATTTTACGTTATATCACATTTACTTAGATATGAAACAATGGAACTTGATAGCAATCAATTAACATTAATCTAACACTAATAAATATCGCATAGAATAAAAATTGAGAAAAAGTATTGTCTGTAAAATCTTTCTCTCTGTAACTCGCGCACACTTAAATTATAATTTCAAAACAATTGTAATTTATTGAAATTGAATTAAATCTCTTGATATAAGCGAATAATATAATAATATTTTTATTATTTTGTTAGATCCGACTAAAGTTAAAACAGATCGAAATTGTTCCGCAAGCGTAAATTCTCACAATCGTTTGACGAAGTATGAATCTATATTTATTTTCACATGTATACATATATGTACATACACACATACATATGTGTTGAAAGAGGGAGATGTATGTATGTATGCATGCTATGAAGATATACAAACGTAGCATCACTCTCGCGTATTCCGACATGCGCATTCTCACCCTCACAACGCGACTTGGAGGGGATGAAGTAGGAAAACGATTTTCAACGAATTACCTTAATCAGTCTACTCTAAGATCGCCTACGTCAGGTGCATCTAGATTTGGTAAACTACCTCGTAGCAAAATTACTATTTTCTATGGTACGAGACCCATGCACCGGCGGCGAATTGATTTGCCGACTTTGATAAATCAAAGGATCGGTGGCCATTTTGGCGAAGAAAAAAAAGAAATTAAATATTTCTAAAATCTAAAATAAAACTTTACAAATTATCGCGTTAATTTCATTTAATATCTTAAAATTGTAAATAATATTATACTTTTTTCACGGTCTTTTTAGAAGAAACTGCGTAAAGAATCTTTGCTGCAATTTCGATAAATTGTCCTAAACTACAATGAATCATTAATTTTTAATAGATGATGAATTAATGCATTAAACCAGAGTTAAAAATTTATAATTATTATTCGATAGCATAAAAGAAAACAAGATATTTGTGTGAAAACTAAAAATATATAAGAAAATTCTACTACCTTTTCTTGATATATTTGATTATAATTATTTATCAATTAATAAGACTGTTTAAATTGATGAGTTAATCTTTTTATGTTTCAAGAGAATTTCTTATAATAATTATGAAAGAGTGCCTCAAGATAGATATTATATAAAAAAAAAATATTTTTGCGTAAATAAAAACCGAGGAAGAAGAATGATCACATATCTCCTATATTTTTACTATTATTATAATTATGAAATGTTACTATAAATATTACGAATATTGTTATTTATACAATTATGTCAAATATCTCGTAACAAAAGCAATTAATTAAATACATTTTCTGTAACAAGCATAATTCCTGTTGCTTACAGTTTAAAACTAATCACGGCTGATCATATATTCACTTTTACTACTAGATTTCTGTCTATCGTAATCCAAGCATCTCTCTAAAAATTACTTTGTACGATATATAAAACTATACTTTTCGCTTTCGCGTATATAGCTTCATGCACACATACACACAAAGTAAGATTTAAATACATTAACATACTTCAAAAAGTTTCCAGACTTCCCGACATCTTACGAATAACTTTCGCACACGCCTATCGCGACGTAAACGTTAAAAGATACTTCTCCCCATTATTTCGATCCGCGCAATTGCGACGTAATGAGCTAGAAAAAAATGCGTCGCTCCTTCGATCATGCAGCATAGATTTGCATGCATAACATCGCAGGACTGCATTCTCTATTGAGCGGTTCATTGACTTTTGATCTGTTCGTGCGTGCAACTTCTCACGCGTGACGTCTCTCACAGAGACGGAGAGAATGAGAGAAAGTGAGAAAGAGAGATTCACGCCCATCGTGTCGAGATTGACCGAAATGGCACGGCGATCTCGCGAGCGCGACACTGTGCGAAAATGAGCGGAAAAATCGTGCGCAAAGTTTCGCATACAGCAACAGGTACTTTGTAACAACGCATCTTACCAAGAATTTTCGTGAAGAATCTCATCAGAGACATTTACGTAAAAGATAATGCTTAATAGAGCATTATCTATAAAAATTGCAGTCGAGCTACTGGATTTAAGAATTATTCAAATTTAAATTAAGCTTCTTTTTCATTAAAGTTATGCGAGTTTAAATCTAACAATGCAAAATAAAAAAAAAAAAAAAAATATAAAAAAAAAAAAAAAAAAGATATTATTTTTAATCAATATGCTAATAAGAGAAACTATGGAAAACTATAAAGACCGGATCATCAATATAGATATGTGTCACTTTGATATCACGAAGTGGATTCTGTCTCATGCGTCGCGTATTCTACATGGTTTTCTGATGCATTCGGCATGATATTCCATTCAATGTTACGCTAGACGTGATTGCTTCGAAATTTATTTTATTTTATTTTATACGAGACGTATTTTTCTTATACGTATGAAAAATTGCATATATTCGCATAAAGAATCGAAAATATACGGATAATGGAATATACGGATTTAAAGTATCGATTATAGTAGATTTTTCATGTTTCACTCATTTTCTTTTAAAATATATATAAATTTTTGTTGGATTTATATTGTGAAATTTAACAGATAAATAAATATGCAATTGTTTTTCTTTCTCAACACTTTATAATAATTATATTTCAAAAAATTATCTGTTTCTTTATTTCATGATTTTTTAAAAATATTCAATATAGATCTTTAAAAGATAGACGAGTATTGTAGAAATAATCGTCGATTTTTTCAGACTCTATCGTATTTTGGAAATATATGTTGCTAATATTTTAACAATTGATATTGTCAACTATTTGCTTCGATTAGCATTATCAATATCTAACTATTAATTCTCTGCAATAGCAAACAATAGAAAAAAATCAAGATATTCGGATTATCTCTCTATATTTCTATATTTAGATTATTTCAAATGTTAAAAATTGCACTTACTATCCGAATATTCTAATATTTCAAATCGTTAATTACATATACATACATATACAGACATATATATATATATTCAAGACACAATTCATATTCATACAAAATTATTTTTTAATGAAAAATATATAATATACACATCGGAATATGTGTATTCATTGGTGATTTTAAATGCCGAAATATTTGGGTAGCACACAGTTTTTACCTGGTTAATATTCGCGAAAGTATGTGTGTCGTAAAATTTACTATATTATTATATAAAGTATATTTAATTTGTAATAGTCTCACAATTTTTGTGTCATTAAATATTTTTGTGCAAATACTCGACTAACACTAAAATCTGTATGAAAGTTTCGAAATATTGGAGCAACAACACATTTCAATAATATTTTATCAATAACTATGAATTAATATCTAACATACATTTGCAATTTTCTAACTTTTAAATCCAATTGCGATTAATCTTTAAACAAATATAACAAAGATGTTAAATGTATATTGTATGAAGCGAAAATTTAAGGCCCAAAGAGGTATAAACAATTACTACATAAACGATGTTCCCATGCTTCTTACCTATATTACAAGCCTGGGTGACGGGCAGGGGTGCGCAGCAACGCCCGCCGAGGGCCGTGACCCTTATTCGGGGGGTACTAACCCCCCCGGGGCCCCCTCCCCCGCCCCCGGCGCCCCCGTAGCCCTCCACCTCCCCAGCCGCGACTGCGGCCACCCCTGCCCCCACTCCCTCGCCGGGCCCGGGACCACCACCAGGCCCACCTTCAACGGGCCCGTATCGGCCGAACGGTCCCGAGGGCCCCAGTGCACCCACTTTTACTGCGTTGTTATCCCAACGACCGTTAAATCGCACTTCTCACACTTTCCCCCCCAATGCCAGTAATGCCAGCGTTTCCTTTAACTTTCTTCGGCACTCACTGCAAAACTCCCGCCGTGTTTGTCTCGCGCTTTTTTGCACCCTTCGGCGCGGCACAACTCCTGAACTCGAGCAATCTCCTTCTGTCGTCACTGAAGACGAAGCTGCACCCTCGAACAGAGTGCGTCTTCTCTCAACTATCGTCCTGAGAACGCCCTATCGTCCTCATTGCGATCTATTTGTTTTCGCAAGTCTATCTTCGACGTTTCTCTTCTGATGCACCAAGTATAACACCCGTTCACAATCTTGACCGAGGTGCGTGCACCTTACACACGATCATGATGCTTGTCAATTGCGAGCGATAGTCCTAAACGCGTCTATTTAACGAAAGATTCTCAAGGATCTCTCAGGATTCTCTAGAAGTTGCTTCTTTGTTTAAGATATTTCGATATGAAAAAAAAAACTCTCGGAACTCGATTCTCGCGATCTCTCCTCTCACTCGATTTTCCGATAGATCTTCTCATCTACCACGTCGGCGGATTGATTCTGAAAATGAAAGAATAGCGACGTCGCGTTAGTTTCGTGCACTCCCGGCGTGATCTCGAGTGTTTGTCGTAGCAAAATTTCTGAACGACACGCGAACCGCTGGCCAATGACGTTCTCTCTCTTTCTCTTTTTCTCTTTCTCTATCTATGTGTGAGTGGGGACCGGAGATGCCGGCGCACGGCGCGATACGTCACGTCACGGCAGCGGCGAAGCGAACACGACGATGATGCGAGCGCACTCGCCTCGAGTTCGTCAGCCAACTGGCTGCACCTGCGGCATCAGCAAGCGTCCCCTTCTCCCTTAGAGTTTGGTCCAGGACTCGCGCAAGCCGACGAGAACCAGCTACGCCCATTGGACACGACCATACGCGGTATACACAGTACGCCAATGTCGGATTGGTCGGTGATGCTAAAAACAGGCGTAGCCAAGGCAGAGCGCCGCCAGATATGGCCGTGGAATGGCTGCGGAACAGGGTTTGCTTGTGGAGAGGCGCTTCTGTCGTTGCTACTGCTGCTTCTGCCGGCGTTACTGCCGCTGGCTGGCTGGCTGGTTGCTGCTGTTGTTGCTGGAAATAGGCTGGTGATGCCGCCGCCACTGCCGCCGTCGCCGACGCCACCACCGCAGCCGCCTGCTTCTCTTCATCTGACACGCTATCGATCCCACGGCGTCGCGGGAGACGAGAGAGTAGACTGCCTCGCGAAATGCCACAGGTTTCAGGGAATCTTTACCTTTCGCGCCCGCGAAGTGTGTTTCACCCTTTCCTCCCACTCGTTCATCGCCTATCGCGGCGCCGTGTCGTTTCTACCTTGCTGTTCTATCAGCTTTTCTGCATCTACTTTTCTGCTCTTCATTTATATAGGTGCCATTTATTATCTTTCTCCATCAGACCGATATAGCTTCTTCACGTATCTACAACTAGTTCTCTTCTCCTCGTCGCTGATGATTCTCTTCTTTTTTGATTTCTATATCTAGTCTATCATCCTGCATCGCCTACACTTTAGGCCGTGAAATACTTCTGTTTTTCTCTCGTTGACGCGATATCATCCTTTCATTTATGAACGCAGCGAGCATATTTTTCTTCGTTTGCTTGTCATTGTCGATAACTCGATTTCGTCCACGTCATTATTTTTATCTTCTTTCTTCTATTTTCTACATCAACCCCAGTAATACTTCTTCGTCTCTTGCTAGTTAATTCTCTTTTTTTAATTACTTTATCGCGCGTGTGTTTCTTCCTAGTTCCTTCACTCTTTCATCTTCCTTTTACGTTGACTTTTGTCCTTTTCTTTTATTATTCTGTCATTCTTTCTTCCTCTTTCTTCAACCGTGTTTTTTACCTATCTTAAATTTATTCTATCTTTTACGTATTTATATTTAATATTTCTCTGTCTTTTCCTTTCCTTTTCTATCTGTTCCTCTTATTACTCATACGCGCCGGTGCAAATGTTTTGGCTGCTGAAATACAGTGCGTTATCGCAGAATACGCGCTCCTTTCTATCGATTAAAGGACTCCACGTGCCATTAACCGAGTGGCCGAATGCTGTTGCTTGCTGTGACAGCCTCCTTTCACGAGACGAATCACGAATCGATAGTCAAATTATGAGTAGAAGTATTTATTTTCCTTAGAATTTTTTATTCTCAATTTATTAATCAATTATTCAACGAAACTCTAAATTATATACTTTGTTAAACAAATTAAATATAATATTTGTTTTATTTTTTCTACAAATAAAGATTTAATTTTTGTTCTGTTGATAAGATTCAATTATCAATATATCAAAATTTTTATTATTACTTATTTATTTCTTATACTATTTATTTGCTGTTCTATTAATTTCGAGAATAAAAAATTTAATCATTAAAAAAAAATTTAACAGGATTTAAAAATCAGATCGCAAATGTATGTGATTAAGATAAACATCAGGAGATATATTCGTAATATAAAGTGATATATCCGGAAGATATTTCACGCGAGATAGGGCCACACGAATCGGAGATAAGTCGATATATCGTCTTCGCTCCCTTGCGCGTTTCGTCTCCTCTTAATGAGGACCAGCGCGATTTAATGGGCTCTCTTTCGTACCATCGTAGTTCGTCATAATTAGTCGTAAAGAAGTGACTTCTATAAATTATATTGTTGCACTTGGTAAGCTTGTTACAAAGGTTGACAGATTATCGGGAAGTTAATTGAAATTATTACAGGCTGTCATAAAAAAATCGCCCATCGGTTAAACGTGCCAATTCGTAATAATAAAACATAAACATCATCACTGATTATCATGTTATCATTTTTGTTTGACCGGAAGTCATGTTGTCAGGCTCAAGAATATATATATATATGTACGTGTATAATAAATGTGTCATGCTTCAGACGATCTGACGAATTTCAAGACTTAATTCAAGAATCTTAAAGTCGCAATCGATTCAATTTTATAATTATAATAACCAGGGTAATTAAAAAAATTATGATTAAAATTATATCATAATTAAAAATTCACTGTCTAAGGTTTCATTGAATTATTTTCCGAAAATTAATAAATAATATATTTAATAGAGCAGATTCAGTAATATTACAGTAATGTTTCAAAAACAATATAAAAGTATTACGTGACGTAACATTGACTGCAACAACACGTAATGTATTTATAACGAAACATCTTTGCAATTTTTTCGCGCTGCACATGATCATTTCTATGCAATTCGTTCATCACATCAATAATCAAATGATTAAATAATCAATGATAAATAAATTAATACAATCTAACCGAAAAATCGATGCTTCCGAAAGAAGAAAAGATGAATGACAACGGGGTGCATTTTCGGAAAACTGTCCGGAAAACGTGACCGTGGTCGCTTCTAAGACGGGGCCATAACTGACTATTTATTGCGAGGATTATCGCGGGCTTCCGTCTATTCGGCGATATTTACGATCGCCGTGTTCGCGAGAACGGACGAACGACTTCATTGCAATTGCACGCCCGGAGGGTATTATAGTTTAGTCGCGCGCGGCGCGGGTATTTATAGTAAGGGCAGCGTTATTAGCGCGGTTAAAACTTTACGGCTAGAGCTGGCTGCCTCATTTACGGCCGAGCGGAGCCCGTAATCGCGTAGTTAGAATTATACGATTACAGACCGATATATATTATCGCCGATAACCATTGAATTTCTTCAAACGCGTACACCGCGTATAATTTCGCGCGAACGTGGGAGAGAAAAAAAGCAGAGGATTTATTATTATTAATTATCGAGCACGTGCGATATATCGTTAAGAGCTAAACAAGTACCTCGATCGCACATGCGACTCGGAAGCATCGCATTCAAGAATCGCGCTGTTTGTATTTATTATGAAACCCGCGCGAAGTATTTTCTCCCCCTCCTCCCCCGCTCTCTTCTCGAATCTTTCAAAAATTATATAAAAATTCAACATAAATATATTATTTTTCTACATTTCTTTAGCTATTGAATCTTGACAGTGTATCTTGAATTATAGGCAGAGAGAATAATCGAGGGAAATAATTGTGATAATTATTCACATATATATAACCTATATTACTCGCATGTAACGTCGATGTGCTTATACGTCGTTTTTAATTATTCATATAACCTATATTACTGTAATATTACTGTACTCGTATGCTTATACGTCGTTTTATTTAAAGACAAGAAACAATTTTTATTAATATATATATAAAAAAAAACTTACGTAAATCTTACTCGAGACTCGAAGGTGTTTGGCAAGCACTGTCGCTTCCTCGCCGTTCGTCGAAGCACTCGCGAAAACATAATTAATAACGATCGTACGCGTTTACATTATCAAAATACCGCGATCGCGTCACTTTCCATAATGTTACTCGAATTTTATTACATTGTAACGGAAGAAAAAACTACGACCGCGCACTACTACGCACTATTGTTACTGTGTACCACGTGATGTTTGGCAAATTAACGCGAATCTTTAATGGCGGAAGAAAAATGCGCGGCTAACTTCGCGATTAAGTTGCACTTTCTGTAACATTTTCCGTACTTTAATATACAATTGTATTTTTAGGCGACTGCGTATATATCGCATTATCTCGTATTATAACATAAAAGTATCCGAAATATCGTCTTGCCAATTGCTCGCGCGATAAAATAAATCCGAATGTTCGTTTCGTTAATAGACGAGGATTCATATTATGACATGAAATACCTGCTTCCAGCCTCGCTTAAAGCCTCGTTTCACTCGCGATTTGTTAATCACAAGAGTTACGCGATCCTAATATTAATCGTTAATATTAAATATTAATTGTTTGTAGGAAATGATCGCGTTTAACGATAACATTTGTAATTGTATTTCAAAAGATAATGCGACACGCAGAGCGTCCACGTCACTACTTAACCGTTCGAGTCTCACCGCTCGAATGACAACACTGCCACAAAAACAACGCGCTACGTCACAAAAATTCGGCGCGTACGGTAATGTTGTCAAAAGAGTCACAAGACTCGTCGAACAAAGTCGCGAAGCGCTTCGTATTATTTTTCGAAATACAATTAGATTTATATATATGTAATAACTTTCTATTATTATTACAATATCAAGCCGTGGATTTATATATTAACTTATATTATTATATAGTAAATATAATCGTATTATGTTTTTAAAAAGAATAACTCATATTACATATTTAAAGAATAAAATTTAACTGAATATAATATAACAATATTATTATTATTAACAGATTAATTTCCATAAATACATTTTCCTAATCAAAATAAAGGTAAACTTTATTTTTCAAATAATTTAATAACTTTTTTCTGGAATAATTAATCAATATTATTTAAATTTCCATTTAAAAAATTAGATAATTTGTATGTGTAATTAAAATTTGCTATGTTAAAATTATGAATATTATTGTGCAGTAATGTAAATTTATCTCTGTTAGAAAAAGATTTTAAAAAACTCCGTACAAAATATTATAATATATTTGAATGAAAGTTATTCTGTAGAAGAGTTTAAAAAAAATTGAAACTAAAATATTACGGATATAAGAGAACAAAGAAATCTACAGATTTCTAGATATGATCCTTAATTCCTTTCAATTAGAATTTTAATTTAGAATAGATATACATGCCAATACGTGTTCTTAAATCGTTTATTTTTTACGAAAAATTCATGACGTTATCTTTGATCGAAAATTGCATTCTACGAAAACACCTAGTCGGCTTTATTGATGTTTTAATGCGGAACTTGCTCGATTAAAAATGTATATCGATTATAATCTTATTTATCATGAACGATTTCAGATTTAGTCGCGATAGCAAGGAAAATGTGTAATAAGTACAGAAAGATAAGATCTCGTAATCGACGCTACTTGCGTATAATTATAACGCCGCCACAACGTGATATCAATTTTTACATTAACATTTTCATCAAACGAATGTATCCACATCACACTGTTATTAACTGTTGAAAGCTATATAGACCTTTCGCCGTATCTGACTTGCGAAACTATTTCTATTTCACGGAACTGTCTAAATTCCTTCAATATCGCAATAATTTTTCTTTTTTACTAATTTATCAATTTTCTATCGAAAGATATATTATTATATTTTAAAATTTTTATATTTCAAATTAATTTAAAAAATCTATATTTAATTTAGTAAAAGATATTTAAAAAAATTAATATGTATTTTAAAAATATTAATTTAAAAGAAGATATAAGTATAACTTCATTTGATATTATACATTTATATAAAATAAAACATGATCGTGTACAGTTAAAATAATGATTCCAGGATATGTAGGGAATGTAGAATTAATAATTTTATTCAACAGCTTAACAATTGTAGCACGTAAACCAGCGCGATCACAGTCTTAATGCACATATAGCTGTGTAATATGTACATCATAACAAAAATATTTAACATTTTTTAAGCAATTAATAATAAAATATTCTAATTGCATTGTTGTACTATCTTAAATATAATCGGCAGTAATATTTTACTATACATCGAGAGGTCGCGATAATTCAGATTTAGCCTTAATTTTATATCAATAATTTTAATAAAACTTTCAGAGAAATTTGTGATTATTGTATATTATCCTTTGATATCATTATCAAAAATTGTGAAAAATAATAATTTGTCCATCATTATTAATACAAGGCTTTTTAAAAATATTGTATTAAACATGAAATATTCTTCAATATATCCATTAAAATTTAAGATTGATTTAAGCATAACCCCTTTCAGTTTAATAATAATATACTATACCTTTAATTGACTACATTTTCGTTATTCATGTTTTATTCCACATAAGGGCACTTTTGGATGGTATCCTGTCCATTTCCTGTATGTAACATCCATTGCGCCTTCTACAGCATGGTCTATTGGATGTATTATAAAAGGTATAGATACCAAGCCAACAAGTGTTGAAATCCAAGGCTTTTTAAAAGCTGTTCTTGTACTTTTTCTTTGCGCAAACTGAACTGCTGCGCAAATTCTATTTATAGTAAAACCAGGAACTATTATAGATGCAAAAGTTTGCCATATCAAAGTATCCGATGTGGACAGTAGAACATTCTTAGTTCTTTGTGAAGTAGTGTTTGCCTGTAACATTATTCATTATGTTAATAATTATTATTAACTTATAATTAAACTTTTAAAATTTATATCACACTTGGTAGACTTTTGCACCCTTGTGCACTGTATCGGCAAGAACATATCCACTTGATAGTGCATAACTAAACCACACGATGGATTTTGGTACTAGGCTTCTAAATGCCTCTCCAACTTCATTTGCATAACCTGAAGGAGAGAAAATTATTCTATTAACTTATATAATCGATCTTTTTAAACTGCACATATTATCTAATTACTTCACTATAGTTATTGCTGCTACCATTACATTTTCTTAAAATATATTTACAGTAATGTTTGATAGAATTAGAGAAGAAAGTAAGGAAAACATGACAGAAAATTTCAATAACATCACTTAATAATTTACTTATTGCTAACCTAAATATCTCACATATGTATCCCGATACAGGTCCACCTCTTCTCGATTATTCATCGTCCCAGAATTTTCAATTTTCCAATTATCTTTCGCACAATGACATAACCTACGGCAGCTTATCTCGATAATAACACGATGCTCAATACTAAAGCAATTTTCGATACATTGGCGTAGATATGCCAAAAATGAAAATTGTGATATTCGCAAAAAAGTATCTCTTCTTCTATTATTAAATATTTAAGGAAATTTTTAGAAATGTAACGTATACGACTTACCCACGAGAACGAAAAATCAAACAACAAAACACTGTTTTGAAATTATAAAGATGCGGCCTCATTAACGCTAAAAAGTAGCGTCAACCATTGGTTGAACAATGAAGCAACTATACTTACCTCTTTGTTCAACCAATGGTTGACGCTACTTTTTAGCGTCAATGAGGCCGCACCTTAAAGTATTTAATGAACGTTACGCAAGCGTCGAGCAAAAACGTGCCAGCACCTCGCATAATTGAACACAATTAGCATCTGACCTAAAAGTAAAAAATGTTATAAAAATTTAATAAATACTAATAATAGATGTATATTTAATAGAAATGATTAATATATAAATAAAAAATAATAATATAAAATAATAGATATATTAAAATATATAAAATGCGCATTAGTAGCGTATTACAACATAAAAAAAAAAAAATAAATATATGTTAAATAAAATGAATATATTATTACAATGTATCTTGTATAATATAACGTGGAGTTGCACGTAACTTTTTTTGTTCTTATATCATGATAATAATGTGCAATTTAACATTGAGATAAAAATAACGACAATAAAAAAAAAAAAAAAAAAAAAAAAAAAAAAAAAAAAAAAAAAAAAATTCAATTGACGCTAAAAAAGTAGCGTCAATTGAAAAAGGCGAAAAGGCCGCTTTACACACTGAAAAAGTTGAAACTGTTTGAACTTTATTTTATTGACGCCATATCTAGAGAAAGTCTAGTGATTTTAATTTGCCGCTGGTTTCTAGCGTCAATGAAATTGCACCTTTAAGGTGCGGCCTCATTGACGCTAAAAAGTAGCGTCAACCATTGGTTGAACAAAGAGGTAAGTATAGTTGCTTCATTGTTCAACCAATGGTTGACGCTACTTTTTAGCGTCAATGAGGCCGCATCTTAACAGTTGGCAGCCCTACAAGATAGGCTGTGCAGCACCGCGTATATAAAATAAATTTGAAATCGCTTCTAGCCTAACCATCTTCACGCGATCGACTTTATTTAAATTGCACGGCATCGCATCGAATTATGATGCGGCTCGATTTATTCGAACGTAATTCGGGACATCGCGATGCTGTATAAGCGTCGAATGAGCACGAATTGTCACGCAAATATGATAAATCACATCTACTCACCGTTCACCGGCTGTTCCACAGACCGCTCCACTCGCTCGCCTCGGGACGTTCCATTCCGATCTTGATGCACACGATATTATCATCAACGCGAACGCGCGACACTTTATTCGGCACTCCCGATATTCGCTCGCATCCGATAATCATCATCAAGGGCGCAAATAACGCGACGCGACTTCGCTCCATCTTTGCGATCGCGCTATCACTGAATTGTCGAAAACGGCTGTCGCGCACTTTCACCGACATATTATGAAAGTCGCGCGATCATCCTTGGACACTTTCGACGCTCTTTCACTCGCGATATTCGTTTAAAAACGGTTAAAAGACGCGAAAAATGCGGACGTACGACGATCCGTGTAACTGCGTATGACTCCGATTCACGTATGACGCGTATGACGTAGCTATGACGCTATGACGTAGCAGTCACGCGCCAACATGGCGGCCGAACTACTGCGCATTCGTTTCTGCGCATGGCCATTCCTGCGCTCAACGTTCGCGCAACTTTGATTTCTGAATATTGTCTACGGTTTTAATTAATAGCACATAATGATAAATATATAAAGATGGAATCAATTAATCATATTGGTCATATATGTAGACTTGCCCGAAGAAATAGAGAAAAAATTGAGAGATATTTTTAATTTCTTTTTCTTTTAGTAAAGGATGGAAATGTCTATTCATAGGCTTGTTCTTTTTTTCCTCTTTCGCGCAATTTTGATTCAATATATAACGTAAAAAATTCATAGTATATTATGCTAATGATATGAATTACGAATGATTCGATTGTTTCATCGTGCTTTTCCAAAGTCAAATCTTATAATATTTACTTTTGCATTTTAAAAGAATGAGAGCGAACTAAATAAATAAATAAATAAATAAATAAATAAATGATGTTGAGAAAAAGAAAAAGACGACTCATAAATAAGTAAATATATAAATATATAATAAAGATTGATATTAATATATACATATATATCATACGAACTTGTACGATCTCAAAATCTTTATCTTTTATTCCGTTACTCGAATACTTGTACGTTAATAGATTTAGGTTACACACATTGCATAAAGCTTCGATATTTTGCAATCTTACCTCATCTCAATTTGGAGAAGCACCTGCATTCCTTTCGATAAATGTCCGCACAAAAATACATCGCGCTTCAAATAAATAAAAGTCACTCGATACTGTGCACGATTCTAATCGTACGAAATATATTCGACGATTTTTTTTGGATCACTGTATTATCGGAACGTGCGATCAGAACGATTCGAAAACGATGAATATACAGAATTTGAAGAGATATCCAATACACGACAAATTATACTTGCATTGATTAGTATTCATCAACACCGAACTGTTAATCGCGAATACGTGTACAACACTTCCACACATTTTTTTCGTAAAGAACGATATACGAAATGCAATATTTCGCGCCTCGCGTTTCACACAATGCGGCAATCTTTTTTGCTGTTTAGTATCGCCATCTACATTCGCGTTAAACGCCAGAATTACGTAGTCCAGATACTTCGACTGCCGGTAAAGTCATCATTTTGTGCATGTCGGTAAATTGTTAGAATCACGTCGCGCAGGAATGATTTTTTTATTTGTAGTATAATAAAATATGTAATTAAAAATTCATGTAAAAACGTATTTTTAATCAAATTACATATACTTATTCCGTTACTCTAATACTTGTACGTTAACAGATTTAGGTTACACACATTGCATAAAGCTTCCAGAGAAAAGTATCCAGAGGCACAAATATTTTATAAACGAAAATCATGCGAGGATGAAACAATAGATTAAAGAAGCCGTATAATCATTGTACTTTTATGTATAAACGTTTCACAAAATAAAATCTTTATAAATGAAGTGTTACATTAAAAATGTTAGTATAAAATTAAATATCCATGTGAGATTTAAAATTTTTTGTCCTTTTTTTTCTTTAGAATTTTTTTATTTTTTTTTCTAAAGATTCTTTAAGCGAGAACAGTTTCTTTCGCAAGACTATTGAACAATTTGATATTTTTTTAGTAGTTTAAATTTCGTGAAAAAATTTGAGAGAAAATTAGATTTTATCGTATTACTGCACATATCGATTAAATGCTATATCAAATATGTAGTGTAAATATTTTAATTTTTTCGTATACGATCTATTTTTTATAATTTTTTCGTATACGATCTATTTTTTATTCTATCGATGTTTTCATAGTGATGCACCTTGAGCATTTTACTTCATATATTTGCAATAAAAATATATTAAAGCAAATTATTTTGCAAATTTATTATTCTAATTTTTATTTTGAAAGAATAAGATTTAAAAAAACGTATGAATTTTTTCAGATTTTTTTACATATTTCCATTGAAAAAAACGCATCAGATAAAACTGACTTTTCTGTACATTTTAAATGTGCCAAAAGATTTGCTCTTTATTCCACTTACTGCAATAATGTACACTAAAAATGACAGATCTAAATTAAAAATGATAGATCTATATTTAGTAGTTGGAAAGAAAGAGAGAAGAAATGAAAAGTGCATCTAGAGAATTTAAAAGAATAAAAATCTAAAAATAATAATACATAAAAATTAATATTATGTATTTTTTGCATGAGGAATGTGGGGCGCACATTTATGCATTTATTTATTTAGATGAGATTTACTTTAGAGCACATTCAGTATTCAACTTTAATTTTATTTTCTCTTTCTTAGATACAAAAAGTGTAATAATACGAAGAACACAATACGCTTATGTATATTAAATAAATTTCCAATATAAATAAGTTTTGTGATCTTTCTCTCTCTCTCTCCTTTCTTTCCGATGTATAGTACAAATTTTTAATATTTTCGCAAAGCACTTGATCTATTATCGAAAAATTTCGAAGTTACTTACAATCGATTTTCTTGCTTCTTCTATCCATTAATAACTCACGAGAATGTAAATATCCTATAAAATATAAACCGAAACCTTTATTTTTTATTTTATTGGTTTGAAATTTTATTTTTATTTAATTTTAAAAAAGTTATTTTTATTTAAATTTAAAGAATTAGTGAGATTTTTGCGATTTAAAATGACATTAAACACGACGTAAATAATAATTTATAATTTAGTCTAATAATAAAAATTTTTTATTACATATTTAACAATAAAATACATCCGATTTATGTCCTGTTTGATGTCATTTAATTGTAAAATTCTTATTATTCTATTAAAATTGAATAAAAATAAAATTTTAAACTAATAAAATAAAAAATAAAAATTTCAGTTTTTACTTTATAGGATATTTATATTCTATTAATTGTAAACGAATACAATGCAGTGTATTTTTTATGATAAGATAATGCTTGCAAAAAATTATAATATTAAGTAAAAGAAGTATCATGTAAAAGACTTCAAAACTCTTTTGATGATATATGTATTATATGTCATCTGGCTTGCTCTTTATTTACTTTTGCTCTCTCTTTCAATAACCTCAAGAACTTTTCGTTATCTGTAATAATTAACGATTTTAAATGTCCATAAAATAATAATTCAATCTTTTATAATTTATTTAATCTTTTTGAACGTAATTAGTATTCTGTAGATTAATGAAATTATATATTCCCCTCTATATAACACACAAACATGTTTTATATTATTTTATTGTAGTTTCCATAACAGCAAAATATTTGAATACTTAATACCTATACCCTAATACTAAATTGTAAAATATAACAATTATAAAATATAATTAATATTAGCAGATTTTATATAATTGCAAGCTATTTTTTCGTTCTTAATTATTACTATATAATTTTTACTTAACGCTATCCTCTTCTTCGAATCTTTCGATTGTTATACTGTCGCATTCCTAAGATAATAAGCACATGCATTTCCTCCTTCTTGATGTTTGTTGGAATATCTTCCATAGTTATTTATCTTCAGGCATT